GATTTCATTAGCATGTCTCCCCCAGCTCTCCCCCTGCTTCAACTTACAGCTCTGAACAGTCAGTGCTGTGAATAGTATTGCTCAGCACAGTTTCAGAAAGCAGAAACCATACTATACGACTGGAAATCCTCTTTCTATTCTAGGCTACTTAAATTCAAGTAATCCCCCTCTTCTGACTTGCTCTTGAAGGAGGCAGCAAACTTGTAGTCCTAAAGGCAGTCGAGCAAACAGCACTTCCATTCTTACTTTTAAAACCAGCTCAAAGAAAAGAAGCATCCAGACAATTCATATTTTCCACAGCAAGTCCCCAGACATGCAGTGTACTATGGCCTTATTAGTTCAACCTTTAAGGGACACTTAGGCCTTTCTGCAATCAGAAAAGCCTTAGGTTAATGCCAAACCATTTCAGACTAGAAGAATCACACTTCAATACCAGACAGTCAGATAGAAAAAAGAACCTAAAAAGCACCTCAAACTAATGAATGCTATTAATCTCCAGCAGCCAAGATTCCAGTGGTACAGATAACCACACTCCTCTGTCCAACCATGGCCTCGTATACTATTCTGAGCCACGTTAATTACTTTAGCTGATGGTTTTGCCAAAATAGTTTAAGAACAAAAATCTTTCCAACAACTCCACATGCATCATCCAGTAGGATCACAAGACATCAGTACTCTAAAAAAAGACCCATCTAATGTTAGAAATGCAGTATCATGGTTAAGCCAGTTTGTCTCCGTGACTTATTGCTTGAATTCAGCATAAAAATTTGGAGCTGCAGAATTTAACCTCATTTGGAGAGCAGATAAGTTCAGAACAGCGTATCACCAAATCTGTGAATATAAAAAATGTTCTGAACAAAAAGGAGATATTTTGGTAATACCTGTTACAGAGAAACTGTTCTCATGGTTAAAAAAAACCCCAACTAAACATCTCCATTTTGAAAATTTGTGTGTCTTCAAACTACAACACAGATATTCTAAACAGTGGTTCAGCAATGTACCCCCCTTGCCAATCAGTATTACACAGAACAGATTAGAACCAAACTGGTATGAGAATAGTTTCAGCTCAGGAGATTTAAAAGCAACTCTTTTAGTCAAATGCTTTGCTTCGTCCAATAAGGACATTTAACACCCAATTTCTTCTATTGAACCTTAACTATTCAATCTGTGCTGAGTTTAATAAGCCCTAATTACACAGTTGGCATGTACTAGGTCATTCTGCCTGAGTGAGCCAAAGGTCACTAACTTCTGCATCAGCCAAAAGGAGAATCCAAGCTGAAGACTAAGCTAAAAGCTGAAGACTCATGATTGATTTCTACATTCCCTTTAAGTATCACTGCACCTGTACGACCCAGGCCAAGTATCTGCTTTTATGAGAGATGAAATACAACATCTAATCCAGTCTGCTACTGAATATTAATCAGTTTGGTCTAAAGCAAACTAGAAACAGAAACAAAAAAGACCAACAGGCCCATTCTCCAATCAACCACATCTTTAGCTCCTGTTTCTGTTAGCTGTAGCCTCAAGCCCACATTTGAAATGGCAAACATTTTGCTAACTGTGTTGTACTTGGGAGGCAATTACAAATTAGTGCACCTTCACAGCAAAGTGCTGCATGTGTGCACCTTTCTGCATCACTCCAGGTGTATCCATGACCTTATTTTAGGCATTCTATATACAGTGAAAGAATTAGGAAACTCCTTTAAATAAAGACTGATGAGACAGAAGATATCCAGCCCATCCAGTCACTGACAGTACATCCATAAACATAAAACAAAAATGAAGCCACCCTTCCTTAATCTCTCTTTCTTTCCTTAGCTGAACTTGGAACAGCTTATACATCTATGCCCACCTCTCTAACATTTTTTGACAAAAATTTGTGTTTTTCAAATGGTTCTACTTGGCAAGGTTGAACCTGGTGGTAAAAGCTGGCCAAGCTGTCAGGAGTCACATTAGGAAGAGCTTCATTTTGGCCTCCACTTTTCCCCGCCATGCTGAGGAAGCAGGAGGATGGTGTCTCTATGCATTTGGGATTTGCTCAGGCTTTTACTGCTGGTCTGATTACTTCTATCGAGATCAGCACAACACCACACTCACAGCACTTACTACACCGAACGCATTATTTAAACAACTCCCGGTTGTTTCTCTGCCAGCCAAACACCCAGGTTGTGTGCATTCAGTTTGATGTATAACCCCCACACTGTCGGCGTGGAAACATGCTGTTCCTTCTATGACTTGAAATTACAGATTTGCTCAGTAGCGAAGCAGAGAAAAATAGATTTGCACATTCTTAAAGTGACACTTTGCAGAGCATTACAATGTTGGTAATGCAGCGACTGCTGAAAAAAGCTTGTGGGTCTCCAAATTACAGAGTTCACTTATTTAAAACACTAAAAGGCAGCTGCTCCCTTTAATCACACCATAGATAAATAAGTACCTTACTTTAGGATAATTTAATGTAGAAATCTTTCACCTTCTAATGGAACACACAATTAGAAAACCATGTGAGGATAATGAAAAGAAATATCCTGTGAATGCTGCAAGTCTCTAGTGCCAGAAAATTTGTAGCAAACTATTTCATCTTAATATTTCATAAGGAAGCTATGATAGCTCTAGAGAGTTAGACTTTAAGTATTGTTCTCATAAACCGTCAGAAATTATCCTCAAGATTCTGCATACATGGCTTTCCACCTCTAAAAATCTCAAGACACTTCAAAGATTAAACTTCACAACACTCTTCAGAGAAAATATAAATATTTTCCTATCAGCATTGTGCCAGTTAAGAGTTGACTCAAAGTCACAAAAATCTGAGATCGATATGAAAAAGGAAACCACATGTCACTTCTTAATCTTAGTTATTTCTGCCTTTTAAGATATTCTTTGTTTAAAAATATGTTCCTAAAAGTGACGGAGAATTTAAAGCTATGCTATGAAAACACATTAGTTCAGTTCTGCACCAGAAACTCACAATTTGTTTTTCTCACATAACTGCTGCATTATAAGAACAGAATGTCAAAATGCTTAGATATTTGAAATGGAAAAAGCCAAGTAGACAAGTGTCTCTGAAATTGCTAATAGTTACCAATGTTTTCAGGATTGTGTATACTTTTTACAATGCTGACATTTTTGAAGAATTAAAGGGTTAGCCTGCACTGTGTCCTCACTTAATCACGCACACACAAAATCTAGAGGGCAGAAAACCATTCTTCGGAAAGGAACAAAGAAGATATAGCAGCCTCAGGTTACACAAGCAGCTCTACACGTTTTGAACTCTGAAATATTCACCTTGTGTATATGTTGCTTCTGCTTTAAGCTTTTGCTTAAATTGCTGAAGAAAATCCCTAGCAGAGTCAGACCCCTCCGGGAATGCTAAGCAAGCGTGGCCCATGAACAAAGAAAGATACTCTAACCAGGGAACCATCTTAAAGAATATCATCCTTCAACTGAAGGGGAAAGCTGATGTCCCAGGTGTCAGAGACACAGCTTTCTAAAGTGGTTACAGCACATCAGATACAGTACTGCAGAACTGACTCAACTCAAACTGTTTCTTGGAAGATACAAACTTCTATATTGTAACACACAACTAATCCCACAAAACTCCAACAGAACTAAATGCCAAGCAGACAATTCTGGAAAAAAAGGAAAAAATAGAAAAACAAAGCATGCTTTCCATCAGATACAGAATAGATGCAGCGATGTATCACAAAACACTATCAACACGCAGTAGCCCTGACCTGAAAAAAGTTACCTGTGAGGCCAGAGCAGAAAAGAGTTCACATCTATTCAGCTTCTTATCACTGAGACTATCAAGAAAATGCTGCCAATTACCATCAAGTAACATACTGTCTGCACTGAGCAAAATCAAGCCATAAAAAGTAACAAAGAACTATCATATACCATATGTAAACACCATCCAACCCTTAATTATCTGAACAAGCAGAAAGCTTAGAAACTACTTTATCAATCCCCACACCCATTGGTTGGGAACCTTTGCCAGTGACAGTTAACTGGAATTCTACATCATTATTTGTTTAACTGTACATCAAGCTTTTAAGAATGGAAAGCTCTATTCACACAGCCGAAAACTATCCAACGGCACACATGATTAGTGTGTGTCATGGCGACACTTGAAAGGAACAAATTTTGAAGGATCTAGTAATTCATGTACTGCTAAAAAGTAGCTGTTGCACAAAGAAAAATATGCACCAGCTTCTTCAACCAAATATATCACATGTAATGCTGTATCTTCACAAAATTACCAGCAATTTAGTAAGAGGTTTTACATTCTGTTGTGATGAACAGGTCACGCTTTTTCAAATCCCATATCAGTTTCAGAAAGATAAATGAGTATGACCTGGAAAAAGTCATAGACAAGGAAGAGGATAAATGGCAAAATAACTGTCTTACTAAAAGCAGGGTTACGTTCACAAAACCCACCATTTTTCTTCTGACTTCTTGAATAGGTAGATGCTTCAAACCATTTACACAAAAAGGCCTGAAAATAGTTCCCATACCCGGGAATTCATTAGTGCCTTATGAGCAAGCGTTCTTCACTTCCTTCAGAGATATATTTAATGCCTTCAAGTTTATTTTCCTAGAAAATAATTACAGAGAAATTGCCCCAGCCCTTCTGAGACTGCAACACTTTACCTGGGTACAAAAGCAGAACAAAGTGCTATGTTACTCACACTTAAGGGCTTTGTAGGCTCCAGGTACATTAAGAATGTCTAGGTTTGAGCTGATTAAAATTATTTCTACTACAACATGCTGGTATGTCTTGGGCAACTTTACAGTATTTCTTGAATATCCAGTAAATATAATGGACCGAGGCAAATTATATGAGGTTCAACAAAGCAAAGTGCCATGTCCTGCACTTGGGTGACAATAAACCCATGCAGTACTACAGCCTTAGAGATGAGCGTCTGGAAAGCTGCACGTTGGAAAAGGATCTGGGGGTGCTGACCATGAGCCAGTGGTGTGCTCAGGTGGCCAAGAAGGCCAATGGCATCCTGGCTTGTGTCAGCAATAGTGTGACCAGCAGGACCAGGGCAGTGATCCCTCCTGTACTCAGCACTGGTGAGGTTGCACCTCAAGTACTGTGTTCAGTTCTGGGCCCCTCACTACAAGAAGGACATTGAGGTGCTGAAGCACATCCAGAGAAGGAAAACAGAGCTGGTGAAGAGTCTGGAGCACAAGTCTTATATGAGGAGCAGCTGAGTGAGCTGGGGGTGTTTAGCCTGGGGAAAAGGAGGCTCGGGAAGGACCTTATCACTTTCTACAACTACCTGAAAGGAGGTTGCAGCCAGGTGGGGGATCGGTCTCTTCTTACAAGTAACATGCATAGGAGAAGAAGAAATAGCCTCAAGTTGCATCAGGGGATATTTAGATTAGTTATTAGGAAAAATTTCTTCACTGAAAGGATTGTCAAGCATTGGAACAGACTGCCCAGGGAAGCGGTGGAGTTACCATCCCTGGAGGTATTTAAGACATGCAGATGTGGCATGTAGGGACATAGTTTAATGGTGGGCTTGGCAGTGCTAGGATAACAGTTGGACTCAATGACCTTAAACATATTTCCAACCTAAATGATTCTATGATTCTAGAAAGCATCACAGAACCAAACAGAATAAAGAAAATCAGTCATCAGTTGACAGTTTTTTCATCAGCATACAGAGTAAATGGGGTTTACTTCCTTCCCCCTTCCTGATTTGGGGGGGAATGCCAAGGCAATCAAAGAACTGGGTATTAACAAGACAGAGTACCTTAGCAAAACAATTTTCATCAGGAGCATTTTGTAACCGAGCCTTTCCTGGAAGCCTAGTTTTCCAGAAAGGGAATGCAATTAAGAAAGAAGAAAAACTCTGTCTTGAGCTCTCCTCAGTGCTTTTAGGGATCACACTTCATTCACTTTCCACTTCAACTGAGTTCCTCCAGAGCAAGTTAACAAGTAGAACCAACCTCTGGAGAAAACAGTATACTTCCACTCTCAATCCTCTCAATTGCTTTTCCAGGACACAGACTAAGCATCATTTTGATAGAAGCTGAGAGCCTGCAGTTCCTGCTAATTTCCATGAGAATTTGGGTTTCACAGCTCATCCTCTCTCCTATTATCACACAGAATCTTAATGAGGCATAAAGACTCAGGTAAACTGAATTACATTGAGATTATATTAGTTGAGGAGAATCATATTTAGCTCTAAAGATTTTCAACTTACTGAGGAGGTCCCCAAAGAACCAAGGAGGCATACATTTGAATTGCTTGCAAAGTTAATAATAAATATTCAGATTTTATGTTTCTGTGTTCACAGCTTAAATGAAGAAGAAATATGTTTTAATCACAGAACCTTCCAATCACCTCCATCACCTCAAGTCAGAGAAAAAGCTTCCTCAGAAAAATACATAAAATTAATGTCGTATAAAACAGATGGCTTTAAAATTTAAAAGCTACTCCTTCAGGAAATTACTTTAGAACTCTACTAACCTCAGCTACTCTTTCCAAAAGTGGTTCCAGCCAGTGTTCATTGCACTCACAGTGACTATCCAGGAAGGTCAGCACTTTAGCTTGTGCTGCATCTGCTCCTCTGACACGGGAGCGCATCAGGCCTGAGAAGTAAAGACAAAAGAGTTTTAAGTACTTCCTGAGGAAAACAATCAACAGTTGTGAGAAACTATTGCATTCCAAGTTAGTCATTAGTTATAATACTCTTAACTCAGACAGGACAAACACAGAAGCTCCATTATCAAAATTAGATGCAAGTTAAAACTCAGTGAAATGACTTCACACCAAACAGCCTGCAAAAGTCCCAATTTACTGCACCCTGCAGGTTTTAATCTAAGTAGAATAACTAAAATACCTTTTCAAAACAAATGATACACAAGTACAGATGGGTCTGCATTACTGTAAATGGTACTTATACAGATAAATGTTACTTTAAATCGATCCTGAAAAAAACACATCTCCTACAGTTCTACTATTAAACTGAGAAAAGCACCATCATTAACTTACCCTCTCACTTCTTTGCCACCCTCCCATCTTAGTTGTCACTACAGATAGACAGTCCATTCTCGTATGAACTTCTTCCAGAAATAACCATGCTTCATGAATTTATGTCTGAGAGCTGTACCCCCACCCCTTTCCACTGTCTTTCCTCTGTGTTTCTTGCAATTCTCTTATTTTGTAATTTGTTTGGGGGTTGTTTTTTAGTTTGGATTGTTTTGGGTGGGTTTTTTTCCCCCTGGTTGGTTGATTGGGTTTTTTTAACCTTAGCTTGAAAAGATTTCTTTGCAAAGAAACTTCTGGTAAAACCAAAAGGTTCTTCTCTTCTCTACATCTCAATTACACAGATCCCCTTCACTGATTTACCCTGCTCCTTTTCTTCCCTCCCTTTTAATATTAGTGTATTTGTTCATTGGATGAACTCACTACTCCTAAAAGTCCCTTGATACACACACACACATAGCTTCTTCCCATTCCTTTGCAAATTTCTTCCCTACTCTTCTCTACTACTCTTCAAAAAATCATTGATTTCATTGTCACTCAAGACCAAAACCAAATCATTACTTTTTTTCTGTCTACATTGTTTCTCATCAAATCTGTTCTGGTTTGTTTGGGCATTTTTCCCCTCTAACTGAAACACTGTAGAAGAGTCAACTCACTTAAAAAATAAACATGCAAAATATGACTATGCCTCACAGAATATAAGATGCTTCAGAGGAAAAGCTTGTTTGCCCTGTTCAACATTCAGTAAGTGTCTCATCAAGATCCTTTTACTGTTACTTCAAGTGTGAGCCCTTGACTGTTGTATATAGGTGCTGTGCAGAGGTCCTCCAACAGTACTTTTTACACCTTATCTGTGGCACACTATACCTCACCAATTTTATGCTGCTTCCCCAATTCCAACCTTTGAATCTGTTCTGTTCACAGTTTTTCCATATCAAACCATTTATCAAGCACTGTGGTCGTACTTTTTGTCCTTTACTTACGCAATTCCTCCTTCCAGAGCTCATTATTTCTAACTTACATTGCTGTAGAGCCTATTGTCTTGCTCTAATTCTATAGAAAACACACAACAGTGTTTCTAATTTCAGATTTTGGGACCAAAAAAAACGGAGGTGACCACTTGGGTCATTGAGTCCTCCACAACCACCTTCAGGCTTACAACAGATAGAGCAGAAAATGTTCCACTGAACACTTATTCTGCAGACTACCACACCCTCCAAAATACATCTGCTCCCATAACAAACTCTGGTCCTACAGATGAGACTAAAAGCTACAAATATTTACTTCTGAAGAAGGGCAGTTAATGTCATCCTCTCCACCAACACCATCCCCTTACTTTAACTTTTGTTTTAAAACACACTGCTTTTCTTTATTGTTCATACTACTGTGTCAGTCTTTGTATCCCTACACATGGGTTGATTTTACCAATTCTCTTAAACTTTAATTTGCATGTGTCTGAAATATCTGTATCAACATACAGCTGAAAACGAAAATCAAAGTGATTATCAAAACCAAGCATAGCAACCCAGCAATCCAATGAAATTTTACAGTATTTTAAAAAATTATCACCTGGTTGCACACATGGATGTCTAGGAAAAACTTCATGAAAAGTACAATAGATCCCATGGGTAATATTTAATCTTTTTCTCATAAAAATATGGAGTAAACTACAACTCTGCCTTCAATCTGCAAACAGCTGTTCTTTTCTGACATAGTAATAGATTTGTCCAATCGTATTTCATTTTCAGTATACCGATGCACATTTTTAAGTGTGAATCTGTACGTACATTACAATTTAATATTTATAATCACTAATAAACAAACATCAAAAAGGTTACCTGATTTTTTTTTTCCATTACTATTATCTCCACCTTTCAGTGCTGTACTGAAAAATGACATCAACTTACTCAGAGCCTGGCAACCATGGCAAGTCATAAAAAGCCTGCTCTCCTAACAAGCCTTTGCTCAGAAGCATATTTCAAACAGAATATTCAAACACTAAGAACCCATCAGTTACTGCAATAACTCCAATTATGGGACAACACAGGTTTTTTGTGCATGTCACTTTCAGCTCCTGACAACGCAGTGATTCTAGCTCCTTCCCAGGCCAGGCTGGCAGTCGAGAAGGTACAGTGCTTATAAAAATTAACAAGCACGTATCTGCTAATTCAGTTAGCTATTTCAACTGTCAAATCCCAGTTATTATTTCAAACAGCTGTAGAGTAACACTTGCCTCTATCTAATACTTTAAGCTTCACACCAGGAAATTGCTGACTGAAGGGCTTGGTGATATGAGACCATAATTTACAAAGCAACACAGAAGAAAACAAAAACGTAAGACAGATTTGTTATAGGGCACACTGGCTTCAGCAAAACTGGCATACTTGGTCCCAGCCCTCCTGGCTACTGAAACCCTCTCAGGTCTGCCAAAACAAACTGTTTGTCAGGCTGTCCATCAACTAAATCCTTAAAAAGGTATCAAGTAAGGGAACCAGGGAAAAAAAAAAAAAACAAACAAAAAAAACCAAAAAAAACCAAAAAAAAAAAAACAAAAACAAAAAACAAAGAGGGCTATTTTTAGGCCAAAAAACCCCAAAAAAAACCCCAAAAACAAAAAACAAAGAGGGCGATTTTTAGGCTGGATCATTTCAAGCATACATACAGTTTACAGTGAAACCTTGCACACAATGGGAGCAGCTTAGCTGAGGATTCAGTGCAGGAAGAGAAAGGGAAGGTTGAAGAAATGCAATTCCTGCAGGAAGCTTTCTCTGTGAAAGCCAACAATGGGGAATTGTGCACACAACAATATTGAATGAATCAGAATTACTGTTCTTACCTGCACAAATACATTTTTTTATTCCTTCCACTTGTGGATTTATACAGTGAAAATCTCCCCTCCAATACAGAATATAAAGCAGAATGTCCCCTTAAAAGACCTGATGAACACTAACAGATAAGGCAGTGCAGTGGAATTTGTATCTGCCTTCCCCTAGATTAAACTTACCTTCTCGGCGATCATTGCGAAGAACTCGCACCTTTTCAATTTTTCCCAGGAGAGCACCATCCTCAGCTTTAAAAAATAAAATAACAAAAAATTAAAATAAAAATACCAAGTGATGAGCAGCAGCTTAATATCCATCACTGTATACCAGAAGAAAGGCTGTCTTCAAAGAAAAACAAAAGGCTTAGAGGGGAAAACATATACAGTCATAAACAGTTAAATGCAAAGATACATGCTTAAAAACCCCAACCTATTATCTCATTGGAGACAACGAAAAGTTAAAAGGCTAAATTACTACCTTATAATTTTACATTCTTGAAGTATTTTTATTTAACTATATTCTCTTTGCTAACTTTAGACAGTTTCTACATTGCATATAGAAAAAAATTTGATAGGATTAAATAAACTATTTTATTTGCACATAAGAAAGCTCACTTTTTAACCAACACTAAGGCATAAACCTATCCTAAACTAGCTAAAAACTAGCAATGCCAATACAAACATTAGTTAGAAATGTTCCTCAGAGGTCCATTTCAATTGATCAAATTTGTATCACGATACTCTAGTACTCATAAAACAAACTTTGACTTATTTTAGATTTGGTAAGAATTTTTCCAAGACACGGATGGAGAGCAGCATTCATTTAAAACAGCACTACAAAAAAAATATTTGTTGCAAGCACCAAGGGTTTTATTTTTACTGAAGATAACATACTACGGAAAGGCTGTTTTAACAATACACTCAGGTCCTTCAGCAAACAGGAAGCAATAAAATATACTAGAAGTATTTATAGGAACTCCTCAATTTCCACAATGACAGATATGGAAGAATTAAGACTTGGTTTTGGATCAGCCTCTGCAAACTCCTATTCATGTGCCCTATTCTCAACCAAGGCACCTACTAGCATCTAAAGAGAGTTTTAGAATAAGCACAAGAAAGTTAGGATCCTGTGAAAGTACTCACGATCGTTACTGTAGTCATCCACCAGTATGATTTCCTTAATAAGATGTGATGGACTTTTTTTAAGGACACTGTAACAAACAAAAAAAACCCAAAAACCAACTAAGCAGCCTTAATTTTCCATAATAATGATAAAAGCAGTTACTTTGTTAACCCACATAGAACCCAGCCCAGGATGCTACCTTCAACAACAGCTACTGGCTTATTCTTACAGAAAGAGTGGAGAAGCACATGCAGAATTTTGTGAGTTCCTCCCTCCCAACCCTGCTACCTCCTCCGCCCACAGTACTTTAGCCTCCAGAAATTTGTGCATTAGACAAGGTGTAACTTGGAATTTGGCAAACATCTTTGGGTCAAATAACCCCTGAGAATCCATCTACCCTGACTTTTTCATGAAACTAGTTATATGGTCAACCTCCAAACATCATCGGGTAATTGGTTGCATACTTTCATGCATCTGTAGTTAAGATGAGCTATTTTGTTTAACACCACTATTTCAGAATGCAAGAAGTGAAGGCCTCAAGGAAATTAAGGCTCAACCTCTCCTCTGCATACAGTTCAGAAGAGCATAATGGATTGTTACTTCCCTTCCTTACCATAAGCCATTATCTGACACAAATGAATGGCCTGTAGAGAAAGATTAAGCTCTCTTAAGTATACCTGACAACAGTTCGAAGCAAAGCAGATCTTGCCTCGTTATGAAAGGTGATCACCACACTGGTGGCTGGCAAATCTATCCGCCATTGCTTCCGCTGACACCTGAAAGAAATAACACCCTGTCATTCGAATGTAATTTTTACATCCCAGGCTTAACAGAGTCTTCATTTTGAAGTAGTTATCTATTAAACTCATGTACATACTGCCTAGGAAGAACAAAATAACTTGTTTTCAAGTGAGATTATAATTAACTTGTCTTTTGACACTTTTGGTAGTTGTCTTAGTCTTTTGTGTACTAAGAAGTCAGTGCCAGATAGGAGCAGGTTCAGAAAAGTCACCAGATCATCATCACTGCAGTATGCCATAAAAATATTTTGTGCAACTGAGGATTAAGCCAGAACACTTTTTTTTACGTTAAAAGCATTCAATGCATCTAAAGAAATAAGTATATTTTCAATGAAAATGCACAGGTTCACAGGCTACCATATGTTTCTTCTTTAGAATGGCATGTGTCCAATTCTCCCTTTATTTTTAAAGCTCCTGTAGCTTTCTCATAGATAAAACCAGTCTTCTGCTCTAATGAGAGCTTGTGAAGATCATAAGAGGCAGAATTTGAAAAACAAAGCTAGGTGGGACAATGCTGAGCAAACTACACAGAACGACATCCATCCAAACCATAAAGATAATTCAACATTCCATGTATGTTTTTCATCACCTCTAGAAGCCTGAAACTAACAAAATAAGCAAAAAGAAGCAAACCATAAAATACTTCCTGCAGGACTACATACAGTTAAGCTACTTCATCCAATAAAATAAACCTAAGAAAGACACTAATCTCATTGTATTAGAAACTAACAGTACCAGAAAACAGTGTATACTGAGTTTATGCCAAAAGCATTACAGTCTGACAGGTCACAATACTGATTGCCATTCATGAAGTGACATACACAAGTGATGTATTTCTTCCTATCCTTTACTTAATATTAAGGGTAAAGTTTTAACAGGCCTAGTTGTCTTCAGAGGGGATAAACCCAGCGAGTATACACCTGCAGCAAATTCAGCAAGTATTTCTGTACTCTGCAGCATTAATCAAAAGAGCTTTTAAGGGAAGTTTGCCACCCACACTTCTATAACTAGGTCTCTGCCTGTACAAAAGCCCACTCCACAGCTGATTAAACATCTGCGACATGCACCACAAGCCACACAACTTTCAACTTCTTGGAATCAGAGAGCAAGCAGCAATGTGCCTGCTGCCTTTGCTCACCCTACAAAATCCCAAGATCATAGAATCATCAAGGCTGGAAGAGACCTTTAAGATCAAGTCCAATCGTTAGCCTATCATTCTGCTGTAACCTCTAAACCACATCTTCCAGCAGCAGATCCAGACGTCTCCTAAACACTTCCAGGGATGGTGACTCCACCACATCCCTGGGCAACCTGTTCCAGTGCCTGACCACCCTAACAGTGAAGAAATGTTTTCTAATAGCTAATCTGAATCTCCTCTGTCTCAGTTTATGGCCACAAGATCCTGCAGGGTTTCCAATACAACAACATCCATAATGTCACACACGTTAGTGCTTGCCATGAAACAAAACATCATCGTGCTGCAGCCACCTTGCTTGCTCTGAATGAAAACAAAGCCCAAGCCAAGCCTACAACTGATGTGCCAGGTTAGCACAGCCATATCTAGCTTTGATTCTCAAGTGGTGGATGTACAAGATGGTTTTGTCACTTTGTGACAGTATTGAAGCGATAAATCCCAAATGCATATGCATTACTGAAAAATAAAGAATTAAGACCTTCTCTAGTGTGAGATTCTGGCAATTCAACTAGACAGCTAAAAGACATGGAATTATTATACTACAAAGCCTGTGGTGCCAAAAGAGATATTCTTTTTTCAGCTAACTTTCAAATTGCCCACAGAGGACAAGGCTACTGTGCATGCAGTTATCATATGAAGCACTTGCATTAGAATAATTAAAAAGCCACATCAAACTGATATCAATCTCCTTGCAGAAGACAGCACTTGAGCCAGAGCACATATTAGGGGGAATTATCCAAGGCAATGAAGCCTCTCAATTTCAAGAAAGCTCAAGAGAAGAGCACTACTACGTGTTTCTGAAGGAGAAATTAAAACTTTTAGACTTCCAAATAGAACTAGAGGAATGTTTCACCGAATATTTCTGTTCTCTGCTCTTTAAAAATCCTTGCTCTAACTGACTCAGTATTAGTCCTCCTCCTCCTATTCTGCTGTGCCAACAGAGCCACAGTTAAAACTCAAACCAAAGAACCAATATCTTTACTTTTGGCATGGAGATTAGACTTCGTCTCCTCAAGTTCCAGCACTTAAATTTTACATGCAGAGTAAGGAAATACAGTTAGGTAAAACAAACTTGAACTGAAAGCTTCAATCTAGACCTTCAATGTTTAACATAGGTCATTAAAATCAGTTAAAACATGAAAAGTACCTTCTTTCCCCCAGAGACTTGGACTAGTTCATATCATTAACATTTTTTCCAAAACCTCTGCGGTTTGTTTGAAACTACTTTTTGACAGAAATATCCATTTTTACCATGCAAGGCGAACATTCATTTCAACTGGTACCAAAGACACAAAATCCCAGGAAACTGGTTTAAAACAGTCCAGACAATTTCAGCAGATAAATAATGGTACTATGTAGTTATTTCAAAGTCAAATCTCTTAGACACATCAACACAATTAATAACAAGACACTTAAGCAGAAACAAAGTATTTCCTCATCCAGGTTTCTTTACTTAAAAAGATTGCAGGAGCTCCATAAGAGATCTTAATCTCAACCCATTTGCCTCCAAATTTGTTGAAAATAACATGCTTCCAAGTGTCACATGCTCAGATATTATTCTTCCTATAGCTATTACCCTTGTTCCTCCCACACAAATATTTCATGCAGCTTTTTCAGTTTCTGCAGTGAAAGTTCTTGCCAAAATGGAAGGAAAATTAATTACAACTCATCATGGACAGTTTGTAAGTATGATTTTGTTTGGGTTTTTTGTTTGGTTTTTTTTCTTTCAAAAGATGATATTTACAGATTGATAGGCACTTAAATCTGCTCCATGGCAAAGCCTAAGTAATAATCCCAGCTCAAACAGCCATTCTGAAGAAACATCTCTCTCTCTCTTCAGTGCAGGGTTCTTTTTCAGCTTCATTGAGTGAAAAAACCTAGGCAGGTCAGTATATAATCACAAGACTGACAGTTAAAACATGGCCACTGCAATATAATTTTTCTCCTGTCATGTCTCTCATTTAAGTTCTTCTCAAAGGACAGTCATTGTCTGTTAGACCTCCTCCCAGAGGTTATTCAACTTCTAAAATATTCTAAATTCAGCTTATCTGAATCACAGAAGCTTCTAGAAGCTGGTAGTTGAACTTCGATCTCATGGAAAAGAATACCTGATCTAAAAAGTTAGAATGCATTTCTTATAAAAACAAGGTATATGCTATAAAGAAAACTCGAAAGTAATTTTAAATTCCTCAGTACACCATAGGCATCATGCTTTTAACTGCTTTCATGGCAACGAGTGAAGCACCAGATTCTTCCCACTTTTCCATTCAATTAACAGCAAATTATACAACACTTGCTTTAGTCTATCTACAAATAGTTTGCTTAAAGAAACCTAAAGTCATGCTAATGTACAAGTGATTTACAAAATGACATAGTAGGTGTCTGAGTTTTTAGACAGATCTCCTTTCCTATGCCATTCCTGATTACAGAGCTTTATTGAAAAAATGCACAGGCACCTTCCTTTTCTCTCTCTTTCTGGTACCTCTTCCAGCTTCTTCTACCTACAAAGCTGTGAATGTACATTCATCCTCACTGCAGAAGTAGTTAGGTAAATTAACCATATACAGTTGGCTAATTTTATGTCTGGAGACTATTTTTGCCTAGTTTTTAAAACCAAGTCAAACCTGCTTTTGTATTTTTCAGCTACGAAGTCCTAATAAGCAACTTTTTTTAAAATATTAATTCTGCTTAAACAAGACTAGTGCAAGTCGTTAAACTCTTTCTAAAATGAAACTCTAACCAGCAGTAGTCAGTATCATTTCCTGAATCTGCACAAACAGCCTGACATAGTAGAAGTTTTCAAGCATCTAAAGCATAATTCTGTCCTGTGTTCACAAATTGATTCCTTTAGGTCCAGAGTTGACAATCACCACATACTTACAAGAACAGAATCACAGAGTGACTGAGGTCAAAAGTGGCCCCTGCAGATCACTTAGCTCAAGCTCCCTGCTCAAAGCAGGGCTGGCTGCAGTAGGCTGTGCATTGGGCTTTGAATATCCCTAAGCCTGGAGACTTCACACCCTCTCTGGGCAACCTGCTCCACTGTTTGATCACAGTGAAAGAGACTGACAAATGCAGAAAACAAGAAAAGCCATCAGATAAACAGGAAAAAAAGAGACTGAAATGCAGCACCAGTTTGGATATATAATACACACTGATGGAAGTAATAGAAACAGAAAAATTTGAGTAAGATTCGTTGTTCTTTAACCCAGAGTTCAAGGATCATGAAGCTTACTGTTCCCGTCCTTTCTCAAGCTGGAGAACTCCTGCTTCAGAAAAATCACCTGCAGCTCAAAAGCAATAGGGAAAGGTTAATCCAATCGAACATGGCTCACTTTGGCACTTACTGATCATGCCTGGTGTCAGGAATGCTTCGGTCCATCCGCAGTTTGTCACTCTCTACCTGATTGAACTTATTGCGTGCATATGGATCCTGACCCGATCGTACCACAGTAGCACCAACATAGGCGTCTTGATCAAAGTCCTGCCACCGAACTTTGCCTACAAAAGAAAACCAGGAATACATCCACTTTCATCTTTGCAATTTAATGAACAGCATTCAGCAATAGAAACCCACTTCAGGTGTTGGTTTTGGTTTTTTTAGTTTTGCAACAAAGTAATTAAACTTTAACAGGATTGTTAACAGTGTAACATCAGAAGTCACTTTTGCATGTTAAATTCCTCTAAAATATCCTGCACATAAAAGGGAGCAATTTTACACATCTGTTTCTGTAAGTTCTCACCAGACAATGCTACATCCTGTCCACTCTGAGTGTTGGGGGTTTTTTCAACCCCAATTACCACAATTTCCATCAAAAAAACCCAAGCATCCACATATCAAGAGGCATTACTATGGCAGATCATCAGGCTGTAAAGTTATCTAAGACACATTTATTTTTAAATATCCAGTCCAGACTTCAAAGATATCATAACTTAATTTACTGCCTCATTACACAAGTAAAACCACAGCCAGTTATAATCAAACCATTTGATAAACAGGCCTTTTAGAAAGACAAGACAACAGTATTCTCCAAGAACAAGCAGTTCATGTAGGCAGAAGACAGGCTCACTCTCCAACATGAGACAACTACAACCTCCTTGACAATCAGAACTGATTCAGATTGGTCCCTCTTTAACACACTGTTACTATGCGACTGGCTGTGGCAGTAACACACAAAGGCAGATTAGCATCCAGCCACAGGAACAAAATCTCAGGACTTCCACCATTTCCAGCTGTAAAACAATACTATGATATTTACCAAGTATCTTAAAATTTGCTCTGCTTATCTCTGGTTGAACAGTTACTTTTTTCACTATTGACAGGCAAACTTGTGCCATCTATTAGCAAACTTATATCATGTTTAACTCAAAATTAGAGCTCAAGACATTTTGGCTGTAAACATGGATGTATATGAGAATCTCCTGCAAGCAAGTTGTGGTGAACCAGCATGCTGTTAGTATTAAAAATGCTACAAAGCAAGCGCTGTCTTTTGGGGTCACTGTTTATTACAGACAAGAGGATTTAACATTCATTGTTTTCATAATTAACATACAAAGTTTTTGAGGTACTTTCAGTTAAGTGCAATAAGTAATAAGTTGCAGAGATGTCACTCTATTCAAGTGCAGCTTTCAGAAAATTATAGCAGAGGCATAGCCTAAATTAAGATGATACACATAAAGGGAATACTATTCTACCAGCTATTAACAGGAGTTAGAGGTTGCTTAGATTTTTCCAGGATTTGCCTTTGCTTGGTGCCTCAACCAGCACAGCATGGAAACTACGGCAGCTTCATTTACAGCTTTATCCATAAGCAATGTCCCAAGTACGTCTATTACCCCCACTAGATTCTGATAACAGAACAACACTTTTCATCATTAAACAAAATAAATGTCTGTTGTTTAACCAGACAAATACCACCAACTCCATTAACCATTCTCTATCATCCAAGCAGCTCATCTACAAAAGCAACTTAGACCCAAGGTGTGATTTGGTGATCAGATGGTACTGGAGGTTATAAGGCAAAAGTAGCAAGGTTGAGAGGGAGGTGGTTTGGGGTTGTTTGGTTTGTTTTTAAGAAACTTCCAACATCCAAATAAAGTCACAGAATAAGAGAAGTGCCCATACCTTTTGATTACTGGTTTAAGAGCTAGCTGGCTAATACTAAGCAACTATCTTTTATGTCTGAATTACCATCCTAAACAAGTTGAAACATTCAAACACACACAGAGAAGCCATAACTAGAGTTAAACAAAAACAGACTGCAGAACATTTAATGGACACTTGGTGAAGCAGCCCAGAAGGGAAACTATGAGAAAATAGCTGGGGGGAGAAATACAGATTTTTCAAGTTCCCATTACTGAAAGAACTCTAAAAAGGGAACTTTCCAGCTATTACTGATAGCGCACAGACTGACAAGACCTTTTCGTAGTCTTTCAAATTTTCTTCAAAATATTTCCAGGAACTCACTTTGAAAACAATTTTACACCTCAACCAGCTAACACACTACAAATAATCCAACACAGAGTTATGTATAAAAATTGCACCAAACCTCACTTGCAACAAAACTATACGAACTACAAGACCAGCTTGATTCAAGAAAGTGGAAGAAATATCAGAGATTACAAGATCATCTCCCCATACGGTTCTCTCTGTCAGCATTTCCCAAAGCTTTTGCAACGTCCTTGGTAACTAAACTATATTATAACCCTTGCTTCTAATTTATAATAGAGCTTCAATCTGAAACATTTTCTGAAATATAGGGATGGTCTAAAAGATTTTAGTCCATTTAACAAAATATAATATACACTTAAAATTAATTTATGCAAGATTTTCAACTTTCAAACACTCCAAATAAATTTTAAAGCTATGCCCACTTCAGGACTGCTACCCCCAACCACTCCTCCAGTTGTCTTCCATCCACTGGAAAGACCTAAAACACAAGAGGTCATGAGGGCACCATATCAGTGCTATAGTGATGCTGTCACAAACCTTAAAAAGGTTTTGTTCTTTATGAACTACAACACAGCATAGCCTGCCCACATGTTTACAAGTGACAATGGTTCAGGTTAACTGCTGGAAAATTAAAGGCTGGTCCAAAGCTAGCTATACTGTCCAGCCTTACTTCTGCTGAAAGGTTTGCCTTGTTGAATCTATCAACTAAATTTTGAAGTTAGAGATAGTTTAACATGTTTTCCAATAATATGTATATTTCTGTTATATGCTTCCCTAGCATACACAAATAGGAGCATGTTTGATTTAATTTCTCCTGGGGAGTTAGGTGGCCCTGTAGTTTCCTGTGTTTCAATGACTTTGTCAGGTGGAACGAGCATCAGAAAATGCGGCTTCATTATTTCAAACTAAAATTAAGTAAACTTGCAACTTCAAATACAAGCAAATGTGTGTTTACCTCTACTGAAACCTAACATGATGATAAATTAGTCTCTTGAACACCAGTAAGTGAACTGCAGAATTTGTTACCAAAGTCAAACAGAGCCAAAAAAAACCCTCAATCACTGAACTGGCTAAGACCCTGGAACCAGGGTATGCTGCAGTACTAAACTTTTTTTGACGAGAAGTGTTTATTTTTACAAACTGTTCTAAGCCTGAGAAGTTAAGCAGAAACAAGAAAAAGGCGAAATCCATTCAAGCTGTTTCTTTTTGCCCAGTTTCCATTCAAGTAGAGCTTGATATAAATAATTTAAAATTTTGGCATTTAGCATTTTCCAAGACTTTAAAACCTGCAAATGCAAAACTAGTCCGGAAAGCATAAAGTAAATTTGAGAAGGAAGGAGACCACTTGATAGGGCTAAATTTACTGAGAAGCAGTGACAGCCCAGGGAAGCAGCGAATTTGGCTTCATGAGCCGTGAAGGAGGTAAAGACTGGCTCTGACTCCAGCAGAAGGTCCTGTCAACCACATGCAATAGGAACCAGATCTATTAGAGGTAAGTCAGATAACAATAAGAGCAGCTTGAGTGAGACAGAAGAGAAAAAGAATAGCAGATAAATCTGCATGCAATCAAGCAGCAGGCAACAAAGAGTAGGAATAGATGGATTCAAAATCACCTAAATAGCTTGCATTCCCTCTTACTGACTCAAAACAGCTTAAAAGCAGTAGGATACACAAGATTATTTTGACTTATGTGCATTAAGGGGTTCCAGATCTTCGTTAACTAAACAAAAAAAGAGTGCTTGAGTAACTGGTGAAACTCCTGCCAACACAGGCAACTGGTTATACAGTTTTGCTTTAGTTATCCATGCAGACAATTCAGGGTTGGTCTTTCCAACCGTACAAACTAACAGCACTCTTCACAAAAAAAAAACAAAAAACAAAAAACACTTTTGCAGCATATAAAAAAGTCACCGAAAGACAAAGGATACACTCTGACATACAAAAAGCAAAAACCTCAGAAGATAATAAACAATTCCTTAATTCCAATAAGCTCTAAAAGATGCTACTCTACATCATGCTGAAACCTAAACTCTAGGTCTCCTAAACTCAGTGGAAAACCAAGAAGGTTTTGAACAAAAGCCCTCCTAAAATTTGATCAGTTTACTTTAAAACAATGCAAAGAATCTGCAGAAATGTGAATACTTCACTGCGATAAAGATTCAAAAGTTTGCCTATATGAACTGAAAAAAAGAAAAGAGTGATTTTTTAAGTGTGCTTAATTCTGTCTGTGTAGCCTTTGATGTTTGATTCCCAACTCTCATACTACTTTGCAGTAACGACTCTCCTGCCTGTTAGATCGAGCAGTAAGAGACTACTAATCAACATATGAAAAAAAAAAGCCCCGACCTGCACTACTTTACACCTAATCTTACTTCTAGTTTCAACCCTTCCAGCTTCTGATAGCTCTCCCTTTCAACATGTGACACTTTCCACTTCTTTTAAGATTCAAACTTAGGTTGCTTAGGGCCATTGGGAAAGGAATGTCTTAGATGAAAGGTATAGGGTTTGGCCCAGAATACATAAACATTCAAAAAGGGGAAATAAGAATACCAGCAGGAAGGTGCAAAATTGGCTGACCTAACCCCAGCAACAATATTTGTAGAGTTGTGTTAAGCAAAAAAAACCCCAAAACTTGAAAAGATCTTCCAGAAACCAAGTTAAATAAGCCAAGGCTCTTCAACGTTTTAGGATTTATTTCCCAATACATACACAGAGTAAAGGCTTTGCCCAAAAAGTATACATACATATTCAGCCCTGTTTCCCCTCTCCAGACAGCAGCTAAGAAAAGGCAGGCCAAAGGCTACAGGAAAGAAGCCATCAATATCAAACAGCTTATACGTACCCAGAGAGTCTGTGACTGTAAAACAAAAACCATACCTCACACATTACTGGGGATGGAAGTTCCCAGCTGCTTAAAGATAAGTTTACCATGGTTAATTCTTTCTGCAAGACTGCCTAGTAGTTCAAATGCTTGGTCAAGACAAATTTGTAAGCAAAACATTAGGATTAATAGAAGAGCAAAACATGCTGTGAAGCTACCTGATCAGTAGTTGTCCTTCTTTTACAGTAAACTTTTCCTATTGTGTAACATTCAAATGCACTTTAATATTTCTGTATTTCTTAGTACATCAATTCTAGCTATATATTAAAATCTCACTGATGTGAAAGAGATAAGAAGCAAAACAAATTTATGGAAGCAGCCACATGAAGCGAAGATTCCTTAACACTTATTTTTCCTAGCTCATCCCCAAGGCATGAGGATTTCACTCCAATAAAACAAAAATCACGTTGCCCTGTTATTCGCCAGCATGTGACAAATACTGAGCCAGTATGGGAAAATAAGTTATGCTGTCAGCACAGTCAGGAAAGTCTGCCACATCAAAAGCTAGACAAAACCAAAAAAGTATGAACCTTGGCTGAATCTTCAGTCAAAATAACAGTCCCAAGGTGACTTGTCTGTTGCCTGCCAGCATTATCCATCAAGAGAAATGGAGTACTTTGGTACCAGAGGCTTTTACAGTACCTCAAGTCTACTGCAGGACAATACAAACGTATTAGCAAAGAAGCACATTCTCTATGGTTTTAAACCCAAAGGAGCAGTGAAGCTCTAAGAACAGAGACACTGCTAAAATAATCCTAGCCCTTTCAGACTACAGAGAATCATTAGAACCCGAACGACTGCTGCGTTTTATGGCTTTCAATGATGAATGTTTCATGGCTATGGATCTTTCATAACAAAAGTTACGGCAATACCTGGAGGTAGCGTCTCCAGACTTTGTGCTTTGTCCTCCGCATCGCTGCCACGCACTTCTTTCCTTTTGGGGTCAATATCATTTGGGTCCTCCTGAAAAAAGTATATAATCTTTAAAATCATCTCTAAATAATTTTGCATTTTCAAAGCAAACAGTAATAACTACGTTTTGGGAATTTTAAACGTGAAGTGGTCCAAGAGAGCTAGGATTTTAAGAGAAAGGATGGTTATTTCCTCCATTACTTGAAAAACAGAACAAGAATTTGAGACAGGCTTTTGCAGTAAATTTACACAGGAATTCTTATTTGGAAAAAAAAGTTTAAGAAGGACGTTTACTAAGGAAGATGGAATAACTTTTTTTAATTAGTAATATTCGAATGAGCTACAGGCAAAAATACTAACTAAAACCTGAAGAAAGCCCTACTCTAACACAGGAACAGCCTAAATAGAAAGTTATCTGAAAAGAACAGTCAGATTATCTAGCAGTTATATCCAGAATGGCAGTCTTACTATTGGAAAAAGACTGCCAAAATATTTTCATGAGTTCATTTCAGTAGAGCTTATTCTCAGCTTCACAGGCAACTCTGCTGGATTTGTGATTCCAGCGATATTGATGACAACCATTGGGGATGGAAGGGGAAATAGTTTCATCTATCCCCTCCTCCAATTTCCAGCATTTATACTGAAGCTGTAAACCTCATTTTCAATTCAACAGGGTGAAAAAAATCCAAACAAATCAACTACACTTTTGCATGCTTGTTACCACAAAAATACAAGATAGATATCAAGCTGGAATTATCCCAATTTGCACACTAAACTTAGCCAACTGATTTAAGTGCCATCAGCTTCTGTTCTTCTTCACACTTGTCAAAGGAAATTCTGCTTCCTTTTCTACAGTTGCACTGAAGGAGTCCCATTTACAACAAGTTACATTTGCACAATCCTGCCACAGACAACACCTTGACTACATCATGTAAGAAGATACAATATACTAATTGTATCTATACTAATCAATAATACTATTTTCCTGGCACATTAAAAACATTACCAGGCTCTGAAGCCAAGCTGTTCTCTTCCAGGAATCTGTCAGAGTCTCCAGAAAAGGGTGATGGTGTACAAACTGCATACTGTAAACTGCCTCTGCCATCCCATCTCCTAAGCCACATCTGGGAATTCTTTGATGGAATAGTAAGTACTTGGAACAGGCCAAGTTTATGTTGGGGAACATTTCAACCACAAATGATACCACTGTAGCATGTCCCATGGCATCTCTGAATTTCCCACTGTAAATTCAGCTTAAGTGCCTACATTAAGTAGGCACTAATATTTGGAAATATATTGAAAAAGGCAACAGATTTCCAAAATACTGAAACGGAAAATTGAATACCAATGCTGAGCTTTTCCCCCCACCCAGTCAAAACCAGCCATTTAAACACTACAACTGTTACAAATCGAGCGCCACCAATGCATGTTTTTCATAGCATCATGCATCAAGGATACCACAGCGGAGGAATTCGTCCAGGTCCTTATACTACATTTCACCACACTGGTGCATGTTTTTGGCCACTGAGCCTTGTGTAGGTCAATAACTTTGCTTAATGAAAGATTTAAATAACAACAATGAAGAATAACAAAAACCCTTCCATATCAACACAAAAAGACACTCCCAAAATCACACAACACCTTTCAAGAAAATGCTCACGACTCATGTTGATGAGGAAAACCACCTGTCACCATGCATGAAGTCCCACCAGCACACGGAAACAGAAGTTATGTTTCTACAAAGTTGTATTTCACTAGTTATTTAGCTTCGTGCACCATTTTAAAGATAACAACACTACAGAAACACTTAAGCGCAAGTACCAACTGTAGCTGGAAGAAAAAATTTAAATGTCAAGTTCTGCAAAATTCAATGAAGCTCTTCACTATTCCAAGTTACTGCAATGAGTTTAAAAAAAGTATGTAAATTGAAAAATAAATGCAAAACATCCACTAAACAAACAAAACCATATTTCAAGGATTTCTCCTGTAATTAAACAAAAACTATTCAGTGCTTCCTCATTCTCTCCCACCTCTATGTCTCTGCAGAAAAAAAATCTGCCTTCCCATTAATCCTTCTAACTGAGGAACATATACCATTAAGCATAATTATTTATCAAGTTCTTTCACTTTGGATTTTGTTGCTGTTATGTTTTCTTATTTGCTTTTTCAAAAAGAACATGAATTACAAAAGGCAAAGTCAGAATCTGAAATCTTACGGCTAAAAGCTATTTTGAATTTTTATAAATTTTATGCTTCTAGGGAACTACTTGGGTACATCCTTCAGATGTTCTGAGCTGAGCCAAACTGCCAGGATGGAAGTTCCCACCACATACTGCTGGATGTTCAACTTGCCTCCTAGGACTCCCTATAAACAGCATCACGATGTATGGGATATTTACCTTGAAGCTTTGTGCCCTAGATAAGAACTTTGTGGCATTTTTCTTCTCCAAAATAAGCCACTCAGCTAAAACTGATGTTCTGGTTTGTGCCCTACTTTTCACTCAATAAAGCATTTGGAAAATATATGTGGGAAACCCACACCTTTTAGGGGCAAACAATATGTTATATCCTTTAGAGAGAACTTGAGTGCACAAAAAGAGAAAAAAGGCAGATATTAAAACCAGAGACATAAATACAATCAGTTTCTTCACATCTCTGATTGAAAATTGCTTCAGCATGTTAATTTGGTGCAGTACAGGAATGAATCATATGGTCAAATGTCATTACTAAGTTGTCATCATCACAGGACAGAGTTGCTTTTTCAGCTTGCTTGGAGTGAAACAAAATCTCAACTTCTAATGTGATCTTAAAAAGCTGCTTGTATTTAATGAGTAATCTTCTTGGTAGAAGACAACAATGCTGGCACTGACAAAACTCATTCATACAGAAAGCTCAGCTTAAGGAAAGACTGAAAGCAACTGAAACCATTTAAGAGGAGGCACAGCTCTTTAATCATCAGAGCACAAGAGGGAGATTTAGTGAGTAAAAATTTAAAAGAATAGCCTAATGTATTTCTCTATGTTGAAATACTACTAATAGTATTAGTACTTAATACTTTAAAATACTATTTTCCTGGCATACTAAAAAAGTTGGCAATATCAGGCTACAACTTCCTATGTAAATGCACCTGGACAACTATTTTGAGCTTGTTAATAAACTGAAAGGTAGCTGGCCAACTAGCAGAGACACTGAGCAAACATTAGATGAGCATAAAACACCACAGGAGTAATACCTTTGTGGTCATTGCTCACACAGTTATTTTGTTATGCCAGGACACACGTATCAACAAAGTAAGTGCACACCAGCTGTAACACAGGAATTTTCAGGAATTTGGCTACATTAATTTTACACATCATGTCACTGTTCCCCATTAATTCCTGGTTCAGTACTAGATAGCATGCAAAGAAACAAAATTGCAACCTTTCCACTCCATTCAGTGGGAAATAATACAACAGCATTGCAGTAATATTTTTACATATAACAAGTAAACATATATTAAATGTAATTTTAAAATTCAATCATCTATACACCTTTGCTACTCCAAAAGCTCTGAAGTTAACGTGATGTACATTTCCTTAACAATTTATTAAAACACTCCTTGCAGCAATAACCACAATTTGTCATGGTAAATTGAGTAAACTGAGGGTGGATGGTTTTTTAGGCTGATAATCACTGAAGTACAGCAATGTTTTCTTTCAGGATGCAGTAAACTCTCCATGCCTCAGAAAGCCTAAATCCATTTACAAACCTTGCTATCGCCACTTTTCTTTTCCTGCTCAACTCACCCACACTATTAAGGCTACCCTATAGACTGAATTTGAGATAAGTCAAAGATGCAACACAAAACTCCAGTTTCAAGGACTAGAAAAACCCCAAAAAAACAAACCTAAAAAACCCAAACTGCTTCAAGGAAATGACTAGTTACACATTTGCAGCGGCTCTGACTGGTGCAGGGAAAGGATGAGGTAGTACAAATGCACAGCAGGATTCAAACATTCTTACAGCATTTCTACACATCTACAAGACACGATCATATTCCACAAGAAATTTAAGAATAGTCCATTTGAGTTTAGAAAGCTGTAATTATACACAGATGTACATGAGTGGGCAATCTTATTATCATTACTTAGATCTTCCAGACCACTTAGCCTATCCTTCTAGTTTTGGTATATTTGTTTGCATTGAAGACTATATTCCTGATGAGCACTGCAAAGCAATTAACATTTTGTTGATTGTTATTTCATTTGGCACCAAAGATGATATTAAACTTTTTTAAGTCTCTACGAATTGCTTCTATATAAAAAAAAAACAAAAAAAAACCCAAATAAAAAAAAAACAAAACAAAAAAACCCAAACACTAAAACCATTACTGTTTCTCCTATTTCTGTCTTAGAACACTTTTCTTTCCTTTTAATTATAGTTTCAAGTATCACGGATTTGACATTTAACTGCTACGTATTAGATCTCATTATAGCTGAGATTTCAATCCTACACTGTCTTCCTATCAACAAGAGGAAAGCTTACCAACATGAAATACCCCTGGATATATTAAAGTATCATACAGACCTTACAAGTTGCAAGTCAGCACAGATCTCTGCAAAGATCTTGTGGTTGGAAACATCTTAACTGGGAGCTGTGTAAGTCTCCAGAACCAGGCATTCCTCTCACAGGCGACCCAGATGCTGAACAGCATGCAAAATTTGGGCACAGGAGATGGCTGAGAGGTATGACTATGACTGCACCATGTGCTACCTGAACAGCTGGACACTCAGAATAACAGAGAAATGTGATTTCATGGACAGCATACATGCTAAGGCTGTTTCAGGACTTTTTTTAAGATACTGGCTAAGGGCAACTGCAGATATTCTTCCACTGGTGACTTTCTAAGTGAATACTGGCAGCATCTTCGAAGAACATCATTTGATCCAGCTGGCCTAACACACGGCTGCACTGCATCCAGCAGTACAGATCAGTCAAATCAGTTGATGATTTTGAAAGAGGTGCTCTCGCTGCAAGGCAACACTCCTCTCAGCACTTCATATACTTCTGTT